CAAGGCAGTTGTGCTGGAGATTCTCTTTGCTCCTGCAGACACCCCCCCACCAACCGTCCTCCACCTGCTTTGTGTCCCTGGAGATGACCTCTGGGACTTGTTAGCAGGACTCCAGCCTTGACCTCCACTCTCCTGCTCTCTGGCCACCCCTGGTGCCCTCTGCAGGGCAGGCTGTGCTGCTGTGCTTCATGTAGCAAGACTGTCCAATTCCTGCCTGGCTCACACCCCGGCCCCTTGGGCCGTAAGGTAAACGTTCCAGCTCCCCTCACCCCAGGAGGGGCTATTTTCTCAGCTTGCTGGGGAAGGGCCTGGCAGGGCACACAGCTATGGTGGCCTCCTGTGTGACCATGGGGTGGCAGTGGGGTTGGGCACTGAGAAGGGAGATGCCTGTACTTGGTATCCAAACGTGATGGGACTAGGCAGGGCATGAGCTGCAGGAGCAGAGCAGGGCTCAGGGCCCACACCCACCCTGCCAGAGGGTGCAGACAGCTGGGAGCACCCAGCTCGTGTGCTTCAGGGTATGGGCCCCCAACCAGCCTGGCTGCACGGACCCAGAGCAGTAGGGGCCTGTCCGTAACCAGCTTCTGCTCTATGTCTGGGCACGCTCTGCTCTGCTGGACAGGTAGCACCAGCACTGGTGGGACCCTGTAGCCACTGGCCTGTTGGTAAACCAAAGACCAATCTGCTTAGAGAACAGGCCCCTCATCGCTTTAGAAGAGCTTCCTGCCAGTTCCTGCTGAAGCCATTTTCTACTTTATTTTAGGAGGAAAGTCTCTGCTGGGCATACAGTGGCTGCAGACCACATGTCCAATGTTCCTTTGCAGCTAGCATGGCTGCCAACCATGTGACTAGGTTCAAGATGTGATGTTGCAGCTTCTACTTCAAGTTCTTAAAAGGGAAGCTTCCTGCCTCGGTTCCTTTGCTCTGGAGATGAAGCCAGAACTCAGGACCATGTACTTAGGGAGAGGTGAACTGCAAGGAAGGACCAGGGCTACTGAATGACCTCACTGGGCACAGTCCCACCAACTTGGGCTGCTCATCTTTAGAGGGTTAGGAAAGGGAGATACCTGCTTCTGTGTTCGGGGGCCACTGCATTGGAGGTGTCTTTGTTGCAGCAGGTGGGTGCTGACTAACACACCATCTCCATGTGCCAGTTTGAAGGGCATTTCTGACCTCAGGCATTTGAATGACAGACTAGCCTCACAGTCTAGCACTCTGCATTTCTTCCTGCAGCACCTTGGATGCACCTGCGGGCATCTGGGGCTCTGTTTTCTTGTAACCCCTTGGATCACCACCAATATACCAGGGACGGCCCAGTCAAGTGCAAAGGCAGCCCAGCTGTCCGTACTGGAGAGCTGCCGCCCTGAAGGAGCAAGCCTGGGCCTCTGCCAGCCCTCTCAAGGCCCCTTCCTCTGGTGTTTGGGCAAAGGGCTTGGACTCACGTCTTCTTGCATAGCTGCCTGACTCCAGAGCTGGTGCCCTGCTCTCATCCCCTCCATGAAGATGAGGCTAGGACTCAGGACCACCCTCTGCCTCCAGGGGACACAGCTCCCACCACAGGCTCCAGCACAGGGCTGGAACCTTTCAGGTCACAGAGGACTTCACACATAAAAGCTGTCAACAATATCAAATGTCCCTGCTCCTACAGCTACGAACCATGCTCTAGTCTGGGAGGGGCTCCCTTGTTGGTCCCTCCTGCTGCCTCTGTGGTCCCCACTAAGTCCCCCACTACACACACAGCTGCCTACTCCCAAACTTGAATCTGGTCTCTATTTAACAATATACAGTTTGAGTTTCCTCTTTAGTGGACTCACAGGCCTCAGGTTAGACTTTGGGCAGGATTCAAAACCCCACGATCTGGTGTCCCTGCCCCCCTTCTCCAGCAGCCTTGTATGTGGTGAGAGGAGAGAAGAATGATCTCTTGCTGTCCCCAGAGCAAACTCCATTACCCAGGCAAAACCATAATGTGGAAAAATAAAAGTGTACAGTAAGAAACATTGAACAGAGAGGGTTTGTTCTGTTTGTTTTACAAAGGACACACTCTAAACAGGAGTCATAAGCGTCCTGAACCTCTTTGCACCTGTGCCGGGAATGACGCTTCAGAAAATTTAAGTGGAGAGGTGGTTTCAGCCCTTGCCCACCCAGTTCATCACTGCAGCCCACGTGTGCCTCATCAAAGAGAATGCAGGCCTGCTCAGCCGCCCCCTCCCTCTGATACTCAAAATCTCAAGGGCTGCAATCCCAAAGCCAGGTTCAGCCAGTCTTCCTGCCAAGCTGGGAGCCGTCGCATCCGCCTCTGCTGTTCCCTTTTGCTAGCACACGATGGCACCAGGGAGAGCAGAGCTCATCCTGTGGCTAGGAGGGGCTGGGATTCCTGCACTGGCCACAGAGGCTTTCAGAGAGAGAAGAGAATGCAGTTCCACAGATGCTAGCAAGCCGCTTTGGGCTCCTAGGACACAGCCCTTCACCCAATATCGCTTCACCCCTTCTCTAGCCTGTAACCTGTTTAGGAGTCAGGCACAATTTCTTTCTGCTTGTACACCCTCGGGGGCCCGTGCTCACATAAATGAGTGAAGCAGCCCAGGCGTCCAGAGAGCACATGGGCCGTGTCGAGGGGCAGTCTCCACTCACCTGGCCTCCTTTTGGCCATCTGGGTTACGCAAGCTATGGCAGCTGGGTTCCCTGAATAATGGAGAAATGTGAAGTCTCTTTCAAACATGGGCAGCTAGTTCTTTTTTCTGTCCACTTTATTGAGGTAGCCACCATGATCGATAGAATAATTTCTATAACCCCCAAAACATTCCCTAGTGCCTATTTGAAGTCAATCCACTCCCTTTCATTACTGACCCCTGGCAATGACTGGTCTGTTTCTGTCACTATAGTTTTGCAAGTAGAATCACTTGGTATGTAGTCTGTAGTGGCTCATTTTGTTCATTTAGCAGGATGTATTTGAGACCAATCTATATTGTTGTGGACACCAGTAGTTTGTTTCTTTCTGTTGCTGAGTTAATAAAATACAGATTGTCCCTGATTCGACCAATTCAAGCTGATTCTGGGTCATTTTGAAGTGTCTTCATCACTGTTTGATCACTGACTTGCTTTCTGGCAAATAAGATGTTCTAGACTCATCTTTGGGGGGGTGGGGCAGGGGCAGGAGTCTTGTTCATTGAAGTGAATTCACATGAATTAACCATTTTAAAGTGTACACTTCAATGGCATTTAGTACATTCACCGTATTGTGCAACCAGCACCTCTTGTCAAAATATTTCCATCATCTCAAAGGGAGACCCAATACCCATTAAACAATAACTCCCAATTCCCCACCTCTCTAGTTCCTGACAAATTCTATGCTACTTTGTCTCTGTGAAGATGTCTATTCTAGATATTTCACATATTGAAATCATATATGAGCTTTGTGTCTGGCTTATTTCACTTAGCTTAATGTTTTTGAAGTTTATCCTGTTGTAGCATAAAACAGTACTTCATTCATTTTTATGCTAAATAATATTCCATTGCATAGCTCTACCACATTTTGTTTATATATTCATCTGTTGATTGACACTTGAGTTGTTTCTGCCTTTTAGCTATTGTAAATAGTTCCGCAATGAGTACTAGTATACAAGAATCTGCGTCCATTTCAATCATTTGGTAAATATACCCAGGAGTGGAATTGCTGGGTCATATGGTAATCCTATGTTTAACTTTCTGAAGAACTGACAGGCTGTTTTCCACAGCCACTGTACCATTTTACATTCCCATCAGCAATGTGAGAGGGTTCTGATTTCTCCACATCCTCATCAACACTTGAATTTTCCTTTTTTTTTTCAGATAATAGCCATCCTAATGTGTGGGGAGTGAATCAGTAACAAAGAAAGCCCTGGTCCACATGATGTCACTTGTGAATTCTAACAAACACTTATTAAAGAACTTATGTAAATGCTTTTCCAAGCTTTTCTAAAAATTGAAGAGGTGGGATCATTTCCTAACTCACTCTGTGAGGCCAGCATTGCCCTAATGCCAAAGCCAGACAAAGACACTGCAAGAAAACTAGAGGGCAATATCCCTTATGAATATACATGCAAAAATGCTCAATGACATATTAGTAAATGAAATTCATCTGCATATTAAAACTGTTACACAATGTCACCAAGTAAGATTTATCCCTAGAATGTAAGAATTATTTTTTCATAATGAAAAAAAAATCAATGTACTACACTACATTATTTGAATGAGGGGGAAAAAGACATCATTTCAGTTGGTGTGAACGCTTGACAAAATTGGATACTTTTTCATGATAAAATCACTGCTCCTTAACATGATAAAGGCAATATATCAAAAAATCCCACAGCCAACACCATACTTTATAGTGAAAAACTGGAAACTTTCTAAGATCAAGAACAAGACAAGGGTGCCCACCTTCCCCACTTCTATTTGGCACAGTACTGAAAGTTCTAGCCAGAGCAATTAGGCAAGAAAAGGAAATATAAAGCATTTGAAATGGAAAGGAAAAAATAAAATTACCTCTGTTCACAGATGGCATGTAGAAAACCCTAAATAATCCACACACACACACACATACACAAAAACCTCGTTAGCACTAGTAAGTGAAAAGTCGTAGGGTGCAGCAGACAGTGGCATAGGTAAACGGCCACACTGTCTTCTCAACCCCCTGCAACCTGTGGTGCTTTCTGTGGTGTTCACTCCTCCAAAGAAACAGCTTTTCTACAGCCTCAGTGAATCTTTTCCTATTTCTGGCATCTCTTCTGTTTCCAGAACCTGAACAGGGAGAGGTGTCTGCCATGAAGAGTGCAGATGTGGATGTTTCCATGTGGGTGTGTGGAGCTGAGAAGCTGGCCAGCCCTGGCCCATGTGCTACTGACTTTGCAGCCATTCTCTGGCCCAGAGGAGCTTCAGGCTGGAGTCTGAGCCTCTGGGTCAGCAGCTATGATGTCACCAGTTATGACCTCAAGAGCTTCTGACCTCACAATGAGCCTGTAGGCACTGCCTGTCTGGGGGCCCTGGGGCCTCTGTTTCTGTGGTAGTGTGGCAGCTGGGACCATGGCTAGCTTCAGTCCGCCTGGTGTCACATAAGCCAGCCCACAGGGTCCTGTAGCTTCTCCTTTCTGGCTAGAAGCTCCAGGCATAGCCTGGGAGTGGGTCCTCCCAGAGAGGGCTATAGCCAGGACCCTGCCAGCCTCAGGGGCCACAGCAGCTCTCACACCAACATCTTGCTGAGCAGGAGCAGTTCCAGGGTCTCCAATAACGTCTGATCATCATCACTGCCAGGATTCAAGGCGGCTGCCTGGTGAGTGCTGACAGCCTGCGTGGCTGGAAAGGACAGTCTCAAGTCAGTTAGGGACTTGGGTAGCAGCAACAGGGTGGTGGAGAAGAGGCTGGGACAGGATCATGATGGCAGAGGGCAGCTCTGGACTCTGCAGCAGCCCTGCCCCTGGGGGGCAGAATCAGCAGTCAGCTTATAGGGGTTTATCCCCATGACCTAGGGGTCAGGTGGGAGGGTGTGGGGTGGGCCTGAGGGCTGCCCCTGCCTCCGTTGATCCCTCAGTTCCTGTGGTAATGCTGCTGCTCTGGTCCAGGACTGTCTGAGGCCATGTGGCCCAGCAGAAAGCAGCACAGACCACCCATCCCGAACCCCACCTCTTCCCCCACTCACTGTGTGAATGCAGGCAAATCAGTTAACTTTCTGGAGCCCCAGTTTCCTCATCTGAGTTATGGGGGTGAGCATAGTATGTTCTCCATCAGGTAGAAAAAATGAAGTGAGGTTATGCATAGAATGTAGCAGACGCTTAGCAGAGGCCACAGGCACCATTCTGCAGCCTCCTGCTGTGACCCTGCTGCCAGAACTGGCCCAGGCTTCCCCCTGCCCCGACTCCTCAGGGTTGAGCCTAGGCTGGAGGTGACTTGCCCACGTGCACCTGACAGGAAGGGGCTGAGCTGGGCCTGGCCCAAGCTGTGGCTGCAGGTCTGTGTGCTTAGGCCCAGCGAAGGGATCCCAGAGTCCTCAGAAGAGCTAGGACTGCAGAGGCGGGGACCACCAAGACCCCCTTTAGCCAGCACTGGTGTAGAGAGCTGCAGTCTGTACTAGGCTGGTAGGCAAGTCAGGGCCCAGGACAGGTCGTGAGCAGGACTGGCAGTATTTCTGGGCAAATACCCCAGTATTTCAGAGCAAATGCCCTCTGGATGGCTGATCTTCCAGAGTCAGAGATGGGTGCAGAGGTAGTGGGTAAGGAGTATGTTCTGGCCCACAGACAGGCTGGTCTCCCATGCCACCAAGGCCATGGTCCCGGGGGCCTGTGTTCAGTGTACAGTTTGCAGCCTCCCGCCTAAGGCCTTGAGCCAATCCACACTTGGCAGCAGGCAGCCTCACACTCCACCCTCAGACGGATGGATGAGCAGCATCCATCCATTCATCCGTTACAGGTTCACTGCCGAACAGGCTTGCCTGAGCCCACCGGCTTTTGGAGAACTCCAGAATCCCAGATTTGGGATGGGCTACCCATGTTCCCTGGGGGCTCCTCTCCAGGCATCATCAATTTGGAATCATGCCAGGTGTGGTGGTAACCCACACCAGCTGCTTTGAATTGGGAAAGGAAGTGAGCTGCATTCGGGGCTGGCGGAGGCAGTCTCTGCCTTGGACCAAGGTAGCGAGGAGCTCCCAGGTCAGGTAGCCATGGATGGGGACAGAGTGGCTGTGGGCAGAGTGATGAGGGGGAGAGGCCAGCCACGCCCAGATGGCTCCCTGTCTGTGTGTGTGGGTGTGTGTGAGGGCAGGTCTGAGTGTGAGTCTATAAGAGTGTGTGTGCAAGTGTGAGTCTGTGTGTGTGTGAATATGTGTGTGAATGTGTGAGTCTGTGTATGAGTGTGTTTGTGTGTGTAAATTTGTGTATGAGTGTGTCTGAGTATCTGTGTCTGTGTGTGAGTCTGCATGTGTGTGTGTGAGTCTGTGTGGGGGCTGTGTGTGGGGGTGAGTCTGTGTATGAGTGTGAGTGTGTATGTGAATGTGTGGGGGTGTGTGTAAGTGTGCATGTGTCTGTGAGAGTGTGTGTGTCAGTGTGTGGGGGGGAACGGCAGTGAGGCGAGGTGGGAGACCTGTTTAGCGGCTGCCTTCTCAGCCTGAGTCCTCTTGGGCTGGGGCGTTTGCAGCGATTGCTGACATGGGTGTGTAGATGTGCGGTCCCCAAGCAGACCCTGGACAGGTGCGAATGCAGAGCTGGACTTGGAAGTTGCACCCCGGAGGCACCGAGAGGAAAGTGGAATGTGGGGAGGGAAGGGGAGGATGCACTCTGGGGTGTACCCTCACCATAGGCTGCAGCTCAGCCTGCCCCGACAGGCTGCTATGGGTGACTATGCAGAGCACAGCTCCCAGCTACCTCCACAGAGAGGCGAGGAAGCTGGGTTATTTATCCCACTCCCTGCCCTCATTGGTGAGGGGCTGCTCCCAGTCTCTGCACATGGCCTAGTGCGTTTCTGCAGCTGAAGGAGTCGAAGGCCAGGCCTCCAGGTGTGGAGGTGAGGGCGGAGGGGCTATGCATGGGCCCCTGACAGCATCTGCTGCAAATCTCAGGCTGAAGCCAGGTCCTTGCCAGCTCGCAGTCTCCCCGCTCCTGAGGCATCCCCACCAAAGCAGCACACAGTCCTCTGAGCTGAGGGCCTTCCATGGAGCACCGGGTAGGATGGGGCAGAGTGTGGTGTGGAGGGGCTGGCAGGCCTGTGAGCTGGGCTGTCCTGATGCTGCCTGCTGGATGTGGGAGAAGGCAGACATTCCTAGGGGCCACACCCCAGCCCCTGCAAGGTGCACTGCATGGCCCTGTCCATCAAAAGGCCTACCAGAGGACAGTGGGGCTAGGGAAGCCTGTGGAGACAAAGCTGGCACAGCGCTGGAGGGGCAGGGTTATCGAGCAGGGAGGCAGTGGGTGGCTGGCAAGGGTGTTAGAGGGTCTGTGAGGCCAGGGGGTGGCTCTAGAGCAATGGGCCCCAACCTTTTGGGCACCAGGGATTCATGGAGACAATTTTTCCATGGACACCATGGTGGGGAGTGGTGGATTTAGGGATGAAACTGTTCCACCTCAGATCATCGAGGATTAGTTAGATTCTCATAAGGAGCACGAAGCCTAGATACCATACACGCTCAGTTCACAATCGGATCTGTGCTCCTATGAGAATCTAATGCTGCCACTGATCTGACAGGAGGAGGAGCTCAGGCAATAATGCTCACTCCCCCGCCACCCACCTCCTGCTGTGCAGCCCAGTCCCTAACAGCCCACTGGCACTGATCTGTGGCCCAGGGGTTGGAGCACCTGGTTGGCCCTGCAGTAGAGCACCCACCATGCTGGAGCAGAGTCAGACTTGCACCGTGTCATCTCTCCTGCAACTGTACTGTCCTGGCCCCTCAGGGTGATGGCCCCCAAAGGCTGCCTATTTCTTCTTTTCACAGGCTGGCTGCTCTGGCGGGGGTGATGCCTCCTCTGTCTTGTAAACATGGGGTTTTGGCACAGCAAGCCTGGTTGAGAAACCCCAGCAGCCAAGGAACCGTGCATCAGGCGTCACCTTGACTGAAGTGCTGGGCTTCCTGAGAGAGGACAGGAACCACTCAGGCCTAGGGTTCTGGCGAGGCGCAGCCGCCAAGCTCATTGCTGGAGTCACACCTGGGGAAGCAGCAGCCTTCCTCCAAGTGGCTACAGCTGTGCTGTCCAGCGCAGTAGGCACTGGCCACATGCAGCTAGCTGTTCACAGTTACTAGAATTAAATACAACTGGGAACTACCCCGTCCCTCAGTCATGCTCAGCTGATAGGCGCATGTAGCCAGCAGCTGCTATCTCAGACAGCATGGACCCAGGGCATTTCCCTCATCTCAGAAAGTTCTACTGGACGGTGCTGGTCCCGGAGAAAGACCACCACCTGGCTGTGCCACAAAGACCCAGCTGCCCAGACCAGGAATCAGCCCTCCTCCCAGACCAGGGCTTCAGCTGTCAGCTCAGAGGACCAAATGCGGCACCCAGGGAACTGTAGGCAGCCGGCATTGTCACAACGTGCTTCAGGGGCCTGTGTGGTGGTGTGCTGGCTGAGGTGGCTATATGAAGACATACCAGTGAGAAGGAGTGGGTGGCATGCTGCCATGAAGGATACCAGGGGTCAGGCCTTACTCTCCACTAGTCTCAATGGTCACCTAACTCTGCTCATCTGGGGTACTTTAAAATGTATGTACAGCCTGGGCAATATAGTGAGACCCCCATTTCAACAAAATTAAAAAAAAAAATTAGTGGGGCATGGTAGCACACGCCTGTAGTCCCAGCTCCTCAGGAGGCTGAGGTGGGAGGATCACTTGAGCCCAGGAGGTTGAGGCAGCAGTGAGCCATGATTACACCCCTGCACTCCAGCCCAGGTGGCAGATGAAGACCCTGTCTCAAAACAAAAAACTAGAAATGGACTTACCACATGACCCCAGCAATATATCTCAGAGAAATGAAGATACTTTCAGGCAGAAACTTGCATCTGAATAGTAATAGTGGCTTTGTAAGTGCCCCAAGCGGGAGGCCCGAGCAGCTGCCCAACCGTGCCCTGGAATGGCACTCAGTAGCAGGAGGGACAGACTGCGGGTGAAGTTGGAGAAGATCTGGAGAAAAGCAGGATGAGAAGCAGCTGGTCTCAGAAAGATGCCTCATGTGCAGTTCCTCTGCATAGCACTCCTGAAGTCACATGCTCCCCATGATGGAGGACAGATCAGTGGCTGCCAGGGTTGGGGACCCGGCTGTGGGCAGGCGTGGCTGTGGAGGAGTTAGTGTGAGAGAGCCTTGGGGAGGGTGTCTGGTGAGGACCTTGATTATGGTGGTCACAGGAAGCTACACACAGGAGAAAATGGTACAGAGCGGTGCATGCACAGGGCAGTGATGCCGGCATTTGGAGGCCTGCAGGCACCCCCCCGCCCCACTGGGCTGCTCTGTCACTCTGCTTTCTGCCCGCCACCACCCCTGCCCCTCTGATGTCCCCTCCTGTCTTTCAGCCATGGCCAAGAGGTGCGCCACAGCTTAACCCGCTCGGTGATGGACTCCAGGGCCCGCCAGAAGTCTCACCTGAGTAAGAAGTGGAGGATCCAGGCCCAGGAGAATTTTGCCAAGAAGTTTCCGTACAGGTGCGGGATGCTCACACCTCTAGAGCCAAGCCCTGCCTCCCCCAGGTCACCCCAGCATCCTGGGAACGCAGATGTGTTCTATGGGGCTGCAGCTCGGAGGGGGTTTCTTGTCCACAGGGAACCCCTTAGCAGCCCTTGCCTGGCTGATAGTCTAGGGTCTGCCTTCGTTGCTCCCAACATAGCCTAAGCCGAGGGGCCTCTAGGTGGGCTCAGGTCCCACTTGGTCATCCCAGAGCCCAGGCCAGCTTCCCCATGTCACCCAGGGAGCATGGCGACAGATGCCTGCCCCTCTTGAGCTGTGTTGGAATTGGTGTGCTGGGCACCATTGTTTGTGAGCTCCTGGGACTAGGATTCAGATGGGATAATGGGCAGCCTGAGGGGGCCCAGGGGCAGCTGGCCTCCCACCTGTAGGACAGCCAGCAGCGCCTGGCACTGGAGCTGAGCTTGGCACCCTGCAACCTCAAGCTGCTCACTCCATGCTCACTCCCCACCCCAGAAACGTGCTGTGTGCCCAGCGGTGGCCCTGGATGCTTGGCAGGGCTGCCCACAAGGACCACGGAGAACCACCTGGGCATCCATGCTTGAGGGTGGTAGGGACCATGAGCTCCATGCTGTGCCTCTATGCCAGGCCGGCTGAGCATCGAGCCTGTCCTTGCCCCAGAAGACTGTAGCTATATAGCCTTGCACCCCATTCTATCCCCCACCATAGACACCGTCCTAGTGAGGCCCAGGTGGCAGGTAAACACCATACAGAGTGGCCTCAGGTTGAAACCAGGGGAGGCCAGCACCCAGGGGCCTGGATGCTCTGGACCAGCCCTTTTGGCTACTGTGGCCATAACAAGACTCTCGAGCTGGCTGCAGCTTAGCTTCCACCTCTTGGCTGTGCAACTTCTGTGCCTCAGTTTTCATGTCTGTAAAATGTGGGCAACACCTGCCTCATAGCACGCACTGTGAGTTGACATATGGGCTAATTATTTGTGAAGCACTTAGAACTGTGCTTGGCAGATGGAAAGTTCCAGATGAGTGACAGCCACTTCAGGAGGCTGGTGGCTGGTGGCCACGTTGACACTCCAAGTGCTGTCGCAGGTTCTCGTTGCTGACAGAGCCCGACCCTGAGCCCCTGCAACCCTGGAAGGTCACAGACAATTCCAATACGGTGCAGCTGCCCCTGCAGAAGAGGTTGGTGCCAACGAGGTCCATCCCAGTCCGAGGGTAAGTTCCTGCCCTGAGGCTACCACCCCCGCTGGCCCTGTGCATGCTGCCTGGCCTTCCTTCCCCCAATTTTGCATGCAGAAGTTCACATCATCCTCCCAGCATGTGCCACTTTAAAGCTGAGGAAACTGAGGCAGAGAAGGGGGACGCTAAAGCCTGATGACTGTTCCCACAGCCAGGCAGCTTCCAGGCAAGGGCCTATAGGACCTTCCCTGGGCAGGGCCTAGGCCACTGGGGGCAGGCTTAGTTGCACGGCTGGTGGGGAAACTGTCCTCTGCAGCAGGAGCTTAGCCAGGTCCTCCGCATGGAAGAGCAGCAAGGGAAGGAGCTGGGCGCTTCTGCACTTAGTGTGGCTGCACTGTGCTGGCTAATGCTGTATTCCAAGGGTGGAGGCCCTGGGCGGGTCCTCAGCTGACTGCAGCACGAACTCTCAGGCGCTCTTATCACCCCAAGCATGGGGCACTCAAGTAAACCCTGGACACCCTTGGAAAGATCCAGCCACAGAAAAGCAGACCCTCAGGCACACCTACTCCCTCCTCAACAGATGTGGAGAAACAAAGCAAGCCTCGGACCCGGCAGCTCCTCAGTCATGCACTGCACGGGGAACAGCTGTATGGCACTGAAGGGCTTCCTCCACCAGCCTCCTGAATGCCCTGGCCCACTGATACCTTGGTCCCTCATCCACTCCAGTTAATGTCAGGGGGACCTCAGGGCCAGGGTGGGTCTGGGTTGACTTTTCCATGCCCATCATTTGATACACTGCATGTCAACTCTGGCCAGCCATGAGGATGCACACTCCATCCCTGAACAGACGCCTGGAGGGACAGACAGACAGATGCACGCACACCCAGGCCACACACAGCCCTGGCCTTTGCGGGGCCTGACTCCCCGCACTTTGGTTGCAGGAGCACCAGATCCCCAGGATTTTGCCCCACAGCTCCGAGCTGAAGCAATGGGCTTAGCTGCCAGGTCTGGGCTCTCAGAGCTCAGATGTTCCTGGTCTCAGATTCTACCCATGCAAAATGGAGTGGCTTAGAGTTAGGGGCAGCTGTGGGGTCAGAGCAGAGGCCTGGGGCTGAACTCTGCTGTTGGGAAGCTGAAGGTGGCAGTGGGCAGAGGTGAGGCTGGGGAGAGAAAATTGACCAGGGACAGAGCGGCCCCCAAGGCCCTGCCACAGTGGGGAGTTGATCCCATGCCCGGGCTGAGAGATGGGCAGTGGTGGGTTTCCACATCCCTACAGCCAGGTCCATGAGTACAGGAGCTAGGGAGGGGGCTGTGGGTGTCAGCTTCTGTCAAATGGCAGCAAAACAGTAAGGAGCAGGCAGAAAGGAGATTTCCCACCCCATCCTGTGAGGTAACTGTGGAGACAGTCAAGCCTGTGGTGGCATGCTGGGTCCTACATGTAGCTGCTGGGGGATGGGCTGGAAGGGGGAGGTGGAAGAGAGAGGGTGGCCTCACAGTCATGTTGGCATGGCAGAGAGGTACGCCTCTGGCAGGGGCTGAAAATGAAGCTCACTTAGTGGATGGGCAGGGCTTGGGAACACGTCCCCAGCCACTTACGAGACAGGAGCTCAGAAGGCACTGGGGGACTCCTAGATTCTGGCTTGGATATCCGGTGGCTGGAGGAGCCTGCCTGTGGCGGTAGGTGAGTGTGGGGTGCTACCATGGCTTCCTGGGACACCAGGTGGCAAAGGCTCTATGTGGAAGGGGCCAGGCCAAGCCTGGTTGGGAGCAGATCCTGCTGGGGCCCTCCCAGATGTGGCCCTGGCTGACTTCTCTAGGCTGTAATGGCTGCAGCCAGCAGGGCTCCTAAAGACCACATGTGGCTGTGTGTGGCTTCCCTAGGCTCGAGGCTCCAGGTTTTACATCAACGTCTGGCTCCAGCCCGGCACCACTGCCAGCTTCACCGCCACCTCCACTGTGTAGCCTTTGGGAACTCAAGTTGCTGAGCCACCGCTTCCCCAGACAACTCGCCTTCCTGCTGTCCACCCTTGACACTGAGGCTGCCTCCCCTACAACCAGAGAGGCGGCAGGGCCATCCAGGGGCCACTCCTAGAGCCTGGGCTTTGTGTGGCCTCCTTACTGGCCACCTACTCCTTGACAGGCTCTGGGCAGCGGCCGCAGAGACCCGAGTGAAAGGGTCAGCCTTCACAGACCGGGAGTGCTTTGTGGTCCCCCAAGGAGCTATGCCAAGCTGATAAACTGTGCGGAGTCCCACCCGACTTCCAGCTGGGATGATCACGTTGCCTCTCTGAGCCTTCATTTTCTCATCTCTAAAATTGTTGTAATAATGTTGAATCTTGCAGGGTTGGTGTGAGGATTTAAAAGAGTATGAATGTCTCTTCTAGGACTTTATCCCAAATGTACACTCACACAGGTAAGTAAACGCTGCTCACTCCAGTACTGCTAGAAACAGCGAAGGATTGGAAAGCAGCTAAACTGTTTCCTCCACACTGATAGGAAGCTGCTAAATGATACAGCTGCTCCTGGAAATCTTAGGCAGCCATTCAAATGTAGAGGCAGCACTTTACAGACTGCTCTGAATGATCTACAGGTCTATTACAATATTTGTTAAAAAGCACATCAGAAGAGTATGTCTGATATGCTGCCATCTTGTGTGTACTAAAAACGGTGTGTGTGTGTGTGTGTGTTGTGAGTGTGCGTATGGGTTGTGTGTTGTGTGTGGCGGGGGTGTGTGTATGTATGTGTGTTATGTGGAGCAGACAGCAATCATTACCTTTGAGGAGGAGAACGGGGAACCTGGGGACAGGACCCAGAGCGAGGCACACCATTTTTGTGGGTTGTCATCCCTGAGCCTGATGCTGTATTCCTGTATTACAACATCCGTAATGTAAGGAGTGTGGTGTGGCTACTGGAGGCCTTGGAAAGCAAGACAGCAGCACTGGGTGGCGAGGTGCCTGCTGAAGATTTAAGGGTCCCCCCCTGTGTTCCACAAAGAAAGGGGCTAGAAAGTCACCTTGGAGTCCTTGGGAGGGTAAATAAAATCCAGGACACTAATCGTAGCCCTCTCCCTGGAGTGGGGAGGGGGACCCCACTAAGTGGGGTGGGCAAGTGGCTTTATTGTCCCAGAAAGGAAGTGGAGTGAGGACCCTTATGATGAAAAATTGAAGGGGGCTGGCTTCCCAGGCTGTAGGGGCAGGACGGGATGGGTTCCCAGCCTGCAAGCAGCAGACCCTGGAGTCAGATCTGTGATGCTTGGGGAAGGGTGACGGGCCGCCCTGTGCCGCCCCAGCCAAGACTCCAGGCTCCCTCCCCAGGTGAAGCCTGAGGACTTACAGCGTCTGCCTGGGGGTAGAGTACAGCTTCCAGCAGCACCCACAGACCTGCAGGAAGCAGAGACCTCTGGGGTCCCCTCCTGTGGGGGTGCGAGCCAGGCTGATCTTCATTTGGACTGTATAAGCCTCCAGGAGGTTGTCTCTGGGGGTTAAAGCTATGCAGTGTTTGATATAAGCAAATACATCAACTTGTGTCTACCACGCAGCATAACTAGGGACACGAGACCCACCCTTATTCCTGCTGGGAGCTCCTTCTCCCACTTCACCCGACCCTGAGTCCCTGCTCCCCTGCTGGTCAGGTCACCACATCTTTCTCCCGGCTCCAAAAACATTATATCTTGGCCACACTTTTGGTGACTTATGCCTGTAATCCCAGCACTTTGGGAGGCTGAGAGCAGGTGGATCACTTGAGCCCAGGAGTTCGAGACCAGCCTAGGCAACATGGTGAAACCCCATCTCTACTAAAAATAAAAAAATTAGCTGAGCATGGTGGTGCACGCCTGTGATCCCAGCTACTCAGGAGGGTGAGGCAGGAGAACTAGCTTGAACCCAGGAGGCGGAAGTTGCAGTAAGCCGGGATCACACCACTGCACTCCAGCCTGAGTGACAGAGTGAGACCCCGTCTCAAAAAAAAAAAAAAAGTTTTATCATGAAATAACACATTGATTTTTTCAATTATGTAAGATTGTATCAAACTCCATCTAACTTTTTCCCCTTCACAGCAAGTTGCTAAAAGTCATGTGATGATGATGCTACCACTGTATTTCCTTCATTTTTCACGTTTCTCATTTCATGATGTGTCCACTCTCTTTCGGGTGAATGTCTGGGTTGTTTCCACTTTGTGCTACTGTGGGTGCTGCTGCTCTATGCACTCCTGTCCCCATCCCCTGGGGTGTACTGTCTCCCCTCCCTGACCCAGGACAGGATTTGTAGGTCGGTGAGTGCATGCAGTAGCTCTTGAACAGGGGTCCTGGGGCCGGCAGCATCTGCATTCTCCGGGGTCTTGCTGGAAAGGCATTTGCCTCGCGTGGCCACAGGGCCTCCCGGACCTCTAGTGCAGCCGCAGATAGGAGGGAGCAGAGTAGTTGAAGAGCAGGAAGTCCATCTTGTAGAGGTCGAAGAGGCGCCGCTGGTAAAAGGGGCTGATGTCCCGGAAGAGGCGGGCTGCCAGGTCTTGGGAGGCAGTGGCCGACCGTGGCCGCGGCGGCGCGGGGAAGCTCAGGTCGGGCGCACCCGCCAGGGCCAGCACGAAGGCCGCGTCCTCCGCCAGTGTCTCGAACTTGCCGACTACGTCATAGCGGAGGCGGCACGGGTGGCAGAGCGCATGCGCGCGCTCCCAGTGCTCATTGAAGGGCTCTTCGCGCCGCGTGCGCGGGTCCAGCAGGTAGGCCAAGAACTCGGCGAAGCGCACGTCGTGGCCGCGGGCCCGGGCGACGGGGAGCGCGCGCGGCCGCAGGCGCTGCACGATGCGTGCGCCGTAGCGCCTCTGGAAGTCGGCGCTGTAGGGGCGCGCGAGCTTGTTGCGGTAGGCGGACGCCAGGCGCTCGAAGGGCTCCCGCACGAACAGGAAGGTCAGGTAGGCGCGCAGGCGGCGGTTGATCTCGGCGGGGCTGAAGTCGGCCAGCGAGGGCAGGCGGCCGGGCGCGTGCGCCTCGTGTGCGGGGATGGCGCGCGGGTCGCCGCGGGCTTTGCCGCTCAGCGCCAGCAGCACGCGCTTCCAGTTGGTGCAGGCCACCTTGGGCACGTAGCAGTAGAGCAGGCCATGCGTGTCGTCCACCAGCACGTGCCGCAGGTCCTCGGGCTGCAGCAGGCGCTGCCGGCGCGTGTGGCGGCTACAGGCGCTGCTCAGCAGGTCGCGCCGCTGCCGGTGCACCTCGGCCAGGGCCGCGAGTGGGTCCTGCGGGCGACAGGGGACGGGACAAGGGGACGCGTCAGGGCAGCCGGGCTCCTTGACTCTGGTGCTGCCCTGACGGCCTGTGCTCCGGAATTGGGGGCAGGAGCTGGGCCGGGCACAGATTGACACCCCAGGGCTGCCACTGATCCCTGTGTGGCTTGGGGCCCGGACATCTATCCTGGGCCTGGATTTGGGAGAAACGGATTCTCACCATGCTGAGGCAGGGAGAAGAACGTGCTGGGTATGCTGTGGGGCGCTGAGAGGAGGAGTGGTAGGAATTGTGGCATCAGAGTGCACTCTGTGTGAGTACGGGCACACATGGCCTCCTCTCTATTTACTAAAAGCAGGAGGCTGCACAAGAAGCAGCGCTGTTTAATTCCACACCCAGCTGAAAACTGCAGCCGCTTGCGGGCTGTCGGGCTGCGTCGCCTCATTAATAAATGGGCCGATTCTTTACCTATGAATCGGCACTCTCCTTTGCACCCTCACATGCCTTTTCTTCCCCCAGCAAATTCCCATCTCAGCGGCGAGGCAGGAAGCTTGCCCCTTCTGAGCCTGGCCCTCCTCTGAGAAGGAACACCAACTGGCTTTAATCTAGCACCAGCTGTAGGCCAGCCGCCTCACCGCTCTCCAAATTAGGTCTGGACCCCCGTAGCCTCAGCCATGCAGAGACCCAGCCAGCGCCTCCAGGCTTCCAGCTCCCCTCTCTTCAGATCCCTCCTGTTTCACGCGGGGTTCTTATCTCCAAGATGAACACCTCTACCTGTATTTTTTGTGTTAAGAGTTCATAAAAGAGTTTTAACTTCTTAAAATTACATTAAGCGCTTTCAGGATATAATTTAAAAGACATTAATGAATTGGTGAGGATGTGGAGAAAGTGGCGCCTTCACACTTTGCTGGTGGTAATGTAAAGGGATGCAGTTGCTGTGGAAAACAGTTTGGCAGTTCCTCAAAACCAGTAAACATGTGACTCAGCAATTCCGCTCCTAGGCATAGTCTCAAGAGAACTAAAAACATATGCAAAAACTCGCACATGAAGTTCATAGCAGCAGTATTCACATTACCCAGAAAGCCTAAGTGTGCACTGCTGAGTGGGCACATGTATGCGGCCATCCATGCAATGGAATATGACTCAGCCATGAAAAGGAATGTGGTGTGCTGTCACAAACCGCCACATGGGTTGACCTGGAGGACGTTATGCGAAGCAAATAGGACAGTCACAAAAGGACGAGTGCTGAACAGTCCCACTTAGTGAGGTCCCTAGAGCAGTCACATCCAGAGAGATTGAACTAGAACTGGAGTAAACTGTGGGGGACTGCTGATAGACACTGAGCTTCTTTTGAGGGTGATCAAAATGTTTGGAAATTAGATAGTGGTGATGGTTGCAAAACCTTGTAGAAATACTGAAAACCAATTGTATAGTTTGGAAGAGTGAATTGTATGGTATGTGAGTTCTCAGTTCAGAAAAAAGGCTTCAGAGTGTTTCCATTTCAGAGGAGGCCAAAGCAGCCTTTGGAGGGACATTAGAGCCAGGGCCTGCTTGGGAGGGTGTGACGCCAGAGGAGTGGGAATGCGTGTGTGGCGCATGCATGTGGTGTGTGCCTGTGGGGCATGATGTCCCAGTGAGGCATGTGGTGTGCGTGTGTAGCATGTGTGTGTGGTGTGTGTGGTACATGTGTCTGGTGTGTGGTATGTGTGTTGTATGTGTATGAAGTGTGTGTGTATGGTGTATGTGGGGTATGTGGTGTGTGTGTTGGTGCATGTGTGGTGCATACATGTGCACATCTTTGGTAGGTGGTGTGTGTGTGGTGTGTGGTGTGTGTGTGGTGTGTGTGGTGGACACCTGCAGTGTGTGAGGTGTGCATGTTGTGTGTGTGTTGTGTGGTGTTTGGTGTGTGGTGTTTGTGCGGATGTCTGGTGTGTGGGATGTTTGGGTGGGTGTCTGGTGTGTGTGATGTGTGTGTATGGTGTGTGGTGTTTGTGGTGTGTGTGGTGTATGTGTGTGTGTAGTGTGTGTTGTGTGGGTGGTGTGTTTGTGGTGTATGGGAGTGGGTGGCATTTATGTGTAGGGTGTGTATGGTGTGCATGTAGTGTGTGTGTGGTGTTTTTTATGTTGTGATAGGTATGAAGTGTGTGTGTTGTATGTGTATGAAGTGTGTATGTGTGTTGTACATTGTGTGTTTTGTGTGTATGGTGTGTGTAGGGTGTGTGGTGTGTGTGCTGGTGCATGTCTGGTGCATGCATGTGGTGCACATCTTCGGTAGGTGGTGTATGTGTGGTGCGCACACCTGAGGGCCTGCGGGCTGCCCTCTGCTCCAGGCTACCCTGGCGCACCCTCTCCTGTCCTCCGCTCCCTGCAAGGCCTTGGCGCAGCTGTTCCCTCTTCCCTCCCTCCTGTCTGCCTGTTGACTCTTGCTCTTCAGCCTCAGCTCCAATGTGCGTTCTTTAGAGAGGGTCTCCCCTCCCCCATCTAAACTAGGACCCTCTCAGGAGAGCTCTTTTTGCACCTCATACTCCCCTTTAGAGCAGAATTAGTTAAGTATTAGTGTGGGTGGTTAAGTATCATTCGCCTGCTGGACTGGTGGCTCCACCAGGGGAGGGACCTGGCCGACCTGCTTGCTGCTGGATCACAGCATCCTGACCACAGCCTGCATGCAGTAGGTGCTCAATGTATGCTGTCCAAATAAGTACTCTCTCTCTCTCTCTCTCTCTCTCTCTCTCTCTCTGTGTGTGTGTGTGTGTGAGAGAGAGAGAGAGAGAGAGAGCGAGAGAGTGAGAGAGACAGAGTGTGGGGTTCTTAGTAGTGGTGTATAGTTGTATGTGTGTGTTTGGGGTTCTGTGTGGTCCCTGCAGGCCCCTAGCTAAAGTTGGGTCTGTGGGCCAGCGAGCTGCCTGGTCCATCTGCTTGAGAATCACACCAGGGGTGGGGTTCCCTGCATTCCACCCCACTGCAGCGCACACTGAGATTTGGGGTCCCACTAGACTGAACTCCCTGAGGGCAGGAACAGGTTCTGTTTTGACTTTTTTTTATCTCCAACATGAAGAACTGTGCCTGGCCTCAGATTATTGACGGATGGGAAGATAGGTGGGTGGAGACCCCAGATCTCTCACCTTACCCCCAAGATTTGCCCTTGTCACTGCTCTCTGACAAAGCCTGGGTTTGAGGAGGATGCCCTTCCATGCCCCAGTGTGGGGTCCAGTTTCATGCCAGCAGATCTGCGCTGTTGCTGTCAGGCTCCTGGCTGGGATGGAGGGGGCATGCCTGGGTCAGGGGTCTGTCCACCTACCTGGTCCAGGTCATAGAGCTTCTGCAGGGGGCTTCTCCTCTCCCCACTAAGCCAGCTGGAGCCCAGGGCTCTGTTTCCAAATGCTGTGGGCATAAGGAGAAAGGTTTCGCCACCACATCAGAGGGACTTGCATAGACCTGGGGACTTGGCCAACCCATCTAGGCACATTTGACCCATGCCTGGCACTCAGTTCCCTTCCCAGGTCCTGCTTACCTCCTAGGGGCTTGGTGGAGTAGGAGATAGCAGGGGGTCCTAATAGGACAGAATTACACCAGGGTAGTGTCTTGTGTCATTCCTGGCCCCATGTCCTACCCTCCAAAGTTGGAGGGTGCCAGGCAAGAGGGGACAAGTGGGAAGGTGGTACCCAGCCCACCAACCCTCTAGAAAAGGCCAGATCACCCAAACTCACCTACTGCCATCTACCCTGGCTTCATGCCCCACCCCTGTGGGGCTCACCAGGCTGGCTGGCTGCCTAGCACCCCCAAATCCTGCATATGGGCAGCCAGAAAGGTTCAGGCAGCAGTGGAGATGGCACAGTGGGCTTCAGGCTCTCAGTGCCACATTGCTAGGCTGGGTGACCAACTGTGGATGCCTGTGGCCTCAGTGCTTCCCCATCAGGGAATATGCTGCTTCACACAGAAGCAGGTTTAGCCATCTCCAGATGAGGAGAGGGATGCTGTCTGTCTGTCTTTCTGGCTGAGGACAACCATGGTGTCTGTCTGTGTCCTGACTGGGGACAGGAATGCTGTCTTCCTGTCTCCTGGCTGAGGACAGGGATGCTGTCTGTCCGTTCCTTGCTGCACTCCTTAGTTTTCCTAGAACTATTTGAAGTAAAAATTCATTTACCTTTAAGTTTATTATTTTACTCAAAATGTGTTTTAAGGAATACCATTTCAAACACAGTCAATTAATATTAATATGTTCTCAGTAATATATGATCATATGCTTCTGGATCACATTTTGCATGAATATTATTATGTATATTAATAAACTAATAAGGTTTAAGGCTATTTTTGAAGAGATCACAAAAACTGGCAAGCCTTTAGCTAGGCTGATCAAGAAGCAAATAGACTCAAATTACTAAAACAGGAAAGAAAGAGGGAATATTACTACTGATGTTAAAGAAACAAGAAAGGATTATAAGAGAACTATGAACAATTGTAGCCCAACAAATGAGAAAACATATAGGAAATAGATTCCTAGAAAGACAGAAATTCCTGAAATTGACTCAAGAAGAAATATAAAATCTCAACAGACCCATAACAAGTAAAGAGGTCGAATAGTAATAAAAAAAATTCCCACAAAGAAAAGCCCAGGATCGGATGGCTTCCCTGGTAAATTTTACTAAATGTTTAGAAAATTAACACCAATCTTTCATAAAGTCTTCCAAAAAACAGAAGAGAACACTTCCCAACTCATTTTATGAGGCCAGTATTATCTAGATCCGAAACCAGACAAAGGCATCACAAGAAAAAGGAACTGCAGAGCCATGCCCCTTAGGAATGTAAGTGCAAAGTTCTCAAAAAATACGGGCAAACCCAAAATAACATCCTATGGAAAAGCTTATACACCACGACCAAGTAGGATGGATCCCAGGAATACAAGATTGGCTAAATATATGCAGATCAATCAATGTAATACTCTATGTTAATATAATCAAGAAAACATCCCACACACTCATCAGTAGATTCAGAAAAAGCATTAGACAAAATCTAATACCTTTCTTCATGACAAAACACACTAAACAGATTAAGAATAGATGGAAACTTTGCCAAACTGATAAAGGGCATCAACAAAAAGCTCTCAGATAACTTAATAGTGAAAGACTGGAAGCTTTCTCCCTAAGATCAGGAGCAAGGCATGAGTGCCTGCTTTTTCCACTTCTATGAATTTGTACTGGAGGTTTTAGCCAGGGTAATTGGGCAGGAAAAATAAATAAAAGGCATCCAGGTTGGAAATTAAGAAGTAAAACTATGTCTATTCATAAATGGCATAACCCTGTATATATAGAAAACCCTAAAGAATTCATAAACCATTAAAGCTAATAAGGGGGTTCAGCAAGGTTGCAGAATATAAGATTAATATACAAAAGTCAATTATATTTCTGTACACTAGCAGTGAATAATCAACATTAAAAATAATAAAGCAATAAAGAAGACATTGATAACAAAGGAAGTATAAGACCTGTACACTGAAAACTGTAAGATATCATTGAAAGAAATTAAAGACCTAAATGAATGGAAAGTCATTGCAGGTTCATGGATTGGAATACTTAACGTTGTGAAGAAGGCAGTACTCCCCAAAGTCATCTACAGATTCTTTGTAATTCCTACCAAAATCTCAGCTGCCTTTTTCTGCCAAAATTGACAGCTGATCTTTAAATTCATATGGAAATTGAAAGGATTCAGAATATCCAAAACAATCTTGAAAAAGAATAAAGTTAGAGAATTCACATTTCCTGATTCCACAACTTTACTATACAGCTACAATAATCAAGACTGTGTGGTGCAGGCTAGGAGAGACACATAGATGAATGACATAGCATTGAAAGTTCAGAAACAAACCCTTACATTTATGGTAAATTGATTTTTGATGAGGGTTCCAAGACAATTCAGTGGGGAAAGGACAGTCTTCAATAAATGGTGCTGAAACAACTGGATATTCACACGCAAAAGAATGAATTTGTACCCCTTTTTCACACCACATACAAAAACTAACTCAAAATGGATCATAGCCCTAAACATTGAAGTTAAAACTATGAAACTCTTAAGTGAAAACACTGTCATAAATCTTCATGACCTTAGAGTAGATGATGGTTTATTAGATATGACACCAAAAGCACAAAGCAACATTTAAAAAAATAGATAAATTGAACTACATCAATATTAAAAACATTTGTGCTTCAAAGCACACTATCAAGAAGGTGAAATGGTGACCCACAGCTGGGAGAAAATATTTGCAAATTATCTCTCTGATAAGGAACTAGTACCCACAATGTATGGAGAACTCTTACAACAGAACAACAAAAGACAAACCAATTTTTAAAATGGGCAAAGAATCTGAACAGACATTTCTCCAAAGATACACACACAGCCAATAAACACAAGAAAAGGTGCACAGCATCGCTAACCATTAGCGAAATGCAAATCAACACCAGGAGGATGGTTATTTAGAGCCAGTAAATAACAAGGCTGTGAAGAGGTTGAAGCCCTCACATATCCCTGGTGGGGATGTAAAGTGGGCATCCATGAGGGAAAACAGTTTGGTGATTTCTTAAAGCTAAGCTTAGAATTACCATACAATCCAGCAGTTCCTCTAAGTATATTCCTAGAACTGAAAACTTGTGCACACAAAAACGTGCATCAGTGTTATTCATGATAGCCCCAAAATAGAAACAACCCGAATCCATCAGCTGATGAATGGATAACAAAAATGTGGTGTATCCATAACATGGGCTATTAACTGGCCATAAAAGGAATGAAGAACTGACTTATGCTTTCTTATGGCTGAACCTTGTAAACGTATGTTAAGTGAAAGAAGCCAGACACAAAAGACCACCTAAGATACAATTCCATTTATGTGAAGGCTGTCTTAATATGTTCATAAGAGTTCATAAGAACATTGAATATTCACAAGAATATGTTCAAGAATTCAGGAACATGTGAGAAAAGAAAGATAAATATTTCTGTGACCCTTGACTTTCAACAAAATGAAGAGTCTATAAATGTCGCTAAGAAGAATATATTCACTGAAAAGATTCAGTAACTTTCTTTGAAACAAACTTCTGGCACATGAGTAAACCTGGGAAATCTGAGGAACTGGTCTGTTGGCAAACTGACCTAGAGCAGTGGTTCTCAAACTTCAGTGTGTGTGGGGCCCATGGAACTCAGAGTCCCCAGCCCCACCCCTGGAGTTTCTGCTCCAGTAGGTCGGGAGTGGTGCCCGAGACTCTGCATTTCTAGCAGCTCCAGGTGAGGCTGCGGCTGCTGCTCTGGGAGCATGCTTTGAGACTGGCTGTGCCGGTGCAGTGCCCGGCAGGCAGAACATGGTCTGTGTTGAATGAACGGAGCTTCGTGGGAGGAATAGATGGCATCTGGACGGGCCTTGCACTGGCCTCCAGAACCCTGCTGCATGTACCCGAAGCCCACCGTCCAGGGTCCCTGCCACCCCCTGCCTGCCGCAGGCCCCCTCGGCGCCCCAGGCCATGCCCTGTAAGGCCCAGGAACAAGGGCCAGACTCCAGTGACCAGGCCATGCAGAGGACGCTGAGGCCCTGGGAGGCTCAGGGCTGCCTGTGTCTTATGGCCACTGACCGGCCCAGCATTTGCCCTTCAGTCTCCAGATTGAGTTAGGGATCTGAACTGCCAGACGTGTCCTAGGAACGACACTGTCATCAGAAAAGCAGCTGACAGGACAGGACAGCAATGTTGGCTGGTTACGCAGGTGTGGGGAGGCCCAGGCTGGGTCTGGCCACTGCTGCTGGCCTGAATGTAGCAGCAGCCATGGGAGCTCCGCTGGCACCACACCAGGCAAAGTAGGACAGGGCAGGGTGCCCGGTGAGAGGAGGACAGCCCTTCTCGCCATCTTGCAGATTAAGACATGTCCCTTTCCTGGAGGCTGTGGCTGGGGACTGAGGAAGAGCTGGTGCTCAGCAGCCCAGGTCTGTGGGCAGGGGGAGGAGGGGCAGTCGCAGTGACAGGAGCAGACCCAGGCCTGTCTCCGCCCCAGGGCCCTGCTACTCGGAGGCTCCTAGCCTTCCTGAAATGCTAGCCCTTGCATAAGGCCTCTCATTTCCTGGCCAGACCACAGCCTGTAGGAAAGTGGGTACCATGACAGACCCCAGGGGCTAGAGGGTAGAAGGGAAAAGGGAACAGGCACCAGAGAGAGGCCCAGAATAGCTGTGGCCAGTGATTACAGGGCTGGACCGCCTCCGCCCAGCCCCACCCTGCCTGCCACGCAGCCCGAGGAGCCTGGGCTCTGCAGCTGCAGAGCTGCCACAGAGGGGACAGATGGACACGGGAAGTCAGAAGGAGGGTGTCTTGAGGATCCCTGGGTCCAACCCTGACTTGGGCAGCTGGGGGCTG